GCAATTCTCCCACTATTTTAATAAAAAATAAACCTTTCTTTTGGACAAAGATGGATTATTATGCATAATAAAAATAGTTAAGCCTTGAACCTTTATTTAGTGAGTCAACAATTCTTAATTTAAAGTCCATAATAAACTAAGTTTTGAACTATAACCTCATAGGAAGATATGAAAATCGTATCACACATAATAATGATAAGTTTTTTACATAGCGAGCATATTATGGCTTTGTGCATGATCCCAGTTTTTATGAATGATCTAGAAAATTATTCATCCAATCCTCATAAAAGTGACCTCACTTTGACACCCACATAGATTAAATTTGTTTAGGGTGTTATGGAACCAAAACACCTCACTCATTGAGCTACAAATTTCATTAAAAGTATAAAACTCAACCCTCGCTTGGTTAATGCATAGATGCATCCTCATCTTAGGAATGATATTAGAAAATTTTTCCATTAAATATTGATGCATCTTTACAACAACTTCTCTATGATTTGTTTTTCATATTCAAAACTCAATTCTTAGAATTCAGATTGGATATCCTCATAGAAAGTTTTAACTTTTACATTATTGGGCGTGAACCCCATTTCCCTTGATGAGCACTAGACCTTGGACTATGATCATAGTTTTTCTTCCAAGCTTTCTCTTTACCAAAGGTCTAGTTGGTGGTAAAGTGGGTAATGAAGAGATTTAACTCATTCTTTTTCTCACTTTCTCTTTTAACATCAACCCACATGTCTACCAGCTCATAAATTCACATTCATATTTTTCAAATTCACAATTCATGGTACCACAATTTCTTATCTTAAGCTAGTGAAACACTATTTTGCTTCAATACATGTAGAGACAAGTAATTAAGAATTTTTAACACAAACACCATTGTATCTTGTTGTACAATAGGAATGTTCATCATACTATGTCCATCATAGTATATCCCTTCTATTCAGGTAAAGTGCCTTATTCTTTTTCATTATATACCATTATACCATAGTTGTATAATAGGAGTGTGTATCACAATTAGTTTGTTAAGCTTCATTATACCTTCTTGTATATAATAGGAATGCAATACAAAATTCTAGTTAGGCACCATTAGTCTCATCATCAATAACAATACATAGGGATATCATAATCCCCCATATTGAAACTATCTCAAATATGTAATTTTCACATTTCTCAAGTAATTGAGTTTATAGAAAAACTCTTTTTCTCACAAGATTTCATAAGAGCCTATTAGCTCATTTCACATTTTATCACCACAAATAACTCCTTAGTCATGTAAGCTTGAAAAATCAGCTTATGTTTACAGAATATACTAACCCAAATTTATGTCCTTTTTTTTTTAAAAAAAATTATTGCACATAACAAATCCGGCAGCTCTCTTATTTAGTCTTTAGACTTGGGTTTTCAAATTTTCCATAAACCCATTTTCCATGGTTCCTAAATGAGTAAGACAACATAGCTTTTGGAGAGCAACAACAATAAAAATAATCTAACTAATAGAATATATAATCATGAACAATACACTTGGCATTTTACTAGCTGTTGGAGTTAAATCACATTATTAGCGATGCATTAAAAGCAAACGGCTACGTTATTTTAATGTTTTCATAATCATGCAATAACCAAGGAAAAGATTATATATAGGAAAAAGAGCATATCAATCCTAATTCTCAAAATAAATTAGAGTTTCAATCTTAAACTGTATTGTTTTATTTATTTAAAACTCAATTCCAAATTTAAAAATCTTTCTTACTAAATGTTAATATTTAGATTTAGAAATTGATTATATTAAAATATACAATGAGTTTTCACATTTAAATACCAACATTTAATAGGGTAAATATTTGAATTTTCAATTGAGATTTCAATTTCTAAATATAGATTAGAACTTTAATTTTTTTTTAGAGTCATGACTAATATACATTAACCTCAGCATTTTGTTTAGTTGAGAAGAACAACAGAAAGCAAAACTAATAGCTGAAATCCGAAATATAAGAATAGAACAAGGAAAACCAGATGTGTGGGAATGGACGCACAGTAAAGATGAGAGTTACACGTCCAAATTAGCATATCAAATTCTTACTCCAGAACCGAGGAGCGTAGAGCAGGGGCCAGTCTTACAAAAAGTTTGGCATCCGTTTATTCCGAATAAAATTTCAGCATTTTCATGGCAATTGTTACAAGATAAAATCCCAACAAAGGCTAATATGCTGCAGATCATGGGTGTCATACAGGACATAGTAGAGTGTAAATGTGATTTATGCGGCTTGGAAACTGAGGATTCCAGCCACCTTTTCATTCATTGTAAAGTAACCTTTGCTCTTTGGGTTGATTGCTATAGATGGTGGGGAATTAAGACGGTGTTAGACAGGGACTGCTGGAAGGTTTTTGAGCAGCACTCCAACATGCTCAGAAATCCAGGGGAGAAGGAGGGGTGGGAAAGCATATGGTTCATTATTGTATGGACTATAGGGTTAGCTAGAAATGAGAAGCTATTTAGAGGGAATGGGGTAGATAAGGGAAGGCTGCTGGAGTTGGTTTAGTTAAGGGCTTACAACTGGATAAAAAGCAAAAGGAGAGAATGCTTCTTCTCCCTACCAGATTGGATACAAAACCCCAGCAAGTTGTTTAAAGTTCAATTGTGGAAGAAGAAGGAAGAGGTAGAAAGCTGTGATGAGGAGGGCCAAAGTCTTGTGAGCAGTTCGGCGCCCACTACCCTTCTGCTTGGCAAATGAAAAATGTAATTGTCCTTTGGGTAGTTAAACATTAACCATTAGTAATGGGTTTGGAGTACCTCTTATACTCCAAAATAAAATACAAACTTCTTTTGCTGCTCAAAAAAAAAAAAAAAAATTAACCGCTTATATATATATATAGATATGCATTTAATTAATTTTTTACTATTGAAAATAAATCAAATATTTACCATATGCACTAAGAGAAAATGGCTAGCTTATCTTATAAGCATAGCCAAAGTGATCATTTGACAATTATAGCATTATAAGTAACAGCAAAAAATGCACCATTGCTCTAGTAATTAAGTAGCACAAATATAATATATATTTAACACCGACGGCTAATAACATGAGGTGTTAATTTTTCACAAGAATTATGTGCGCTTATGCTTTATAGTTCAGGCAAGCTATGTAGTGATCAAATACCACCGTGTATTTAACCCAAGGAAAAAAAATCGTGAAGCCATAAAGTATCATTCCAAGTTTCCAACATTTCAAGCATACAATTGGAGTATTGGATAATGATTCAGTAAATAGATGAAGCATCAAATATTGCATGAGGGTGAAAAACTCATACCTACTTGGCACATATATGTTCTTGAAAATCAAAATTTTTATTATGCTTACACAAGGCCACATATTTTCCAATTTTGCTTTGCATATTGAATCACTTTGCAATTGTTGTTCCTCAAACATTCTTCTTCATCTTCACATCATGCCATTGTTTTACTTCAACCACAAAATCAAATAAAAATAATAAATAGTGAACTTATTAGAAAATATCAATAGGAAAATATTATTGAAATAGGCATTGAAAGTTTATTTATTTTAAGGTGATTCATGCCATTGCAGAGAGTTGATCAATTAGTACAGCAGAGATATACATTGCACGTTGCCCTCAGGTTACTATAGCTTTATAATAACACTTTATTATGAACCTGCATTACCCATAGAGCCACTTAACTTAAAACATTATTCTTTACCCAAAAATATTTAGAAAATAGAATAAGGTAAGAAAGTAGAAGAATATGAAAGAACTTTTCCCTAGTTGAGCAAAATGACATGTTCTATTTATAGGATTTATAGTCATGTAACTCCTATTTATAGGTTAATGACAGGAATAAATTATACAATTATTATGAGATAATATGTCCTTAAATAGAGCAATTAACTTATAACGAGTAGTTTGATCAAGTTCTTAATAGGATAGTAAATTTAATTTATAAAAAATATTATTTTATTTTTTATTAATATCCTTAAGTTCCAACAAAAGATACAAAAACCCAACAGCAGTTTGGTGTCACACCCTGCGTTTAGCCTTTGCAAAACAGTGAAATAAACAGACTTGCTGACACCTACAGTGTGGTATCAACACCCTAAGCATTTTTAGCTTAAAAAATTTTTATTTTTGTCATGTATCATTCTTCTTTTCTAATCTTTTAATAGGTTTTCTTAAATTCTATAAATACTGGTTCAAAATCAGACTTTGGAGCCTTTTAGAGATCAAGAGAGACACGGCAACAAAAAAACTCAACATAAAAAAAAAAAATGAAAACTTAAAATTTTTTATTGTCAAATTGATTTTACTTATCAGATTTTGCTTATGATGTCAAGTACTCTCATCTTTATCAAGAGATATTTGATTTTCTTTTATTTCTTTTTTTTTCGAAAGGCAAAAGATTTAATTGAATGATTACAAGGGGTACCCAAACCTGTATACATTAGTCAATCCCTGATAGAATGAAGAACCAAAAAATAGTATAGTGTTGGGAGACCCATTTACAAAAACTTGCAGTACCTGGGGTTTAAGATCCAGTCAGAGAAGCAGAAATGTACTTCCTTTCCTTTGCTCTTGACCCAGAGGAAGGCTTGAGCCTGAACTTGATTGAAAGTCTTTGTCAAATCCATCGATTTACCTCTAAAGATTACCTCATTCCTGGTGGTCCAGATGGTCCAGACAAGAGAAAACCACACCATAATTCACTACTTTTAGTAGCTAAGGATTCATGTTGGATGAAAGAATCCCAACATGAACCAGCAATGGCAGTGGAAAAGCCCCACCATTCGAAGCACATTGACCAGATTTTTGCAGTAACTGAGCAGTGGAGAAAAAGATGGTTGCTGTCTTCCACATTCTGTCCACAAAGGCTACACTTAACAGCCTCCATCTCCTTAATTAATCCCCTTTTCAACAAGTTGAATTTTGAGGGAATCCTGTCAAGTAGTAGTAACCAAGTGAATCCACGGACTTTGTGAGGAATAAGGGGGTTCCAAATCTTCTCAAAAACTTGTCAGTATGGTGAGGGTTGATGTTGGACCAAAGCAGTGTATCCTGAGCTTGTAGAGTAATCACCCAACTTATCTCGTTCCCAGGTCCAAGTGTCTTCCTTCCCTATGGTCAGGTTGGTCTCCTTGAGGAGCTTGTTGAGATCTTGCATGGAATCTTGCTCCCAAGAGTGTGGGGTGCATCTCCAAGGAAGGTTCCAAACCCATTTGTTGTCTTCCCATCTACCCATCTCATCAATTGTGTTGTCTTTCCCTGTAGAAAGCATATATAATCTCGGAAAAACATTAGCAAGCACTCTAGTATTACTCCATGAATCCTTCCAAAAACTAACTTTCTCTCCATTACCGATCCTAATCTGGAAGCCCCCAGATAGCCAACCTCTTCTATTCTCCTCTAGTACATCTAGCTTGCACAAATCCTTCCACCAATTGGACCTTGCACTTTTCCCTTCTTTTACCCAGTTACACCAATTTCCACCCTCATACCCATATTTTTCTTTAATCAGGTTAAAAAGCAACCCAGGAGAACCCTTGGCCAATCTACCCCACCACTTTCCAAGTAATGCCTGATTAAAAAGTCTAAGATCCTTAACCCAAAGCCCTCCATCCCTTTTACTAATACAGACTGTTTTCCAATTAACCCAATGCACTTTCCTAGTCTCTTCACATCCACCCCATAGAAATTTATTCCTAATTTTATCAAGAGTTTTGACAATACCTTTGGGAGCGAGATAGACGGACAAGAAGAGGATTGGGAGCGATGTGAGCACAGAGTTGAGGAGGGTAATTCTGCCTCCGAAAGATAGCCAATGAGCCTTCTAGTTCAGCAACTTCTTCTGAAAAGATTCAATTAATGGTAGCCACATGCTAAGTTTTCTGTGATTTCCCCCCACTGGGACTCCCAAGTATTTAAAGGGCAAAACTCCAGTTTTACAGTTAAGTATCCAAGCCATTTCCTGCATCCATTCAGCCTCAATATGGATACCCATGAGTTGACCTTTATGATAATTAATTTTTAGACCTGAGGCAAGCTCAAAAGCTCTCATAATGCACTTCACAACTTGGATGTTTTTTTCAAAAGCTTCCCCAAAAATGATTGTGTCATCTGCAAATTGAATGTGAGAGCATCGCATGCCCGAATTCCCCACTTTTATTCCTTCATACAATCCCCTGTCAATTGCAGTATTGATTATTTTGTTCAATCATTCTACAACGATCAGGAATAAGAAGGGAGACAATGGATCTCCTTGCTTTAATCCCCTTGAGACAGGAAACTGTTGAGATGGGCTACCGTTGACCAACACCGACAATAAACTCGTTTGAAGACACTCCATGATCCATTTTCTCCATATTTCATTAAACCCAAGTCTCATCATCATATAATCAAGGAAGTTCCAATTCACCTTGTCGAAAGCCTTCTTGAAGTCTACTTTGAAAACAAAGCTCTTCTTCTTTTTCCTCTTAGCATCATCAATAATTTCATTTGCTGTGGCAACTCCTTCACATAGATGCCTACCTTCAATGAAGGCCAACTGATGTTCCCCAATAATGTCAGCTATTACTGAGCCCAGCCTATTAGCAAGCAATTTAGCAACAATTTTGTACAGGGAGCCAATGAGTGAAATAGGCCTAAACTCCTAAATTCTCTGGGGATTCTTCACTTTTGGAATCAATGTTAAGAAAGAAACATTCAAGCCTTTTACTAACTTTCCATTCTTGTGAAATTCCTGGACAAATTCCACTATATCATCCTTTATTTCACTCCACATTTTCTTTTATTTATTTATTTATTTATAAACTAATTTAGCCATTTAAAGTTATGATGTAGCCTAGTTAATTTAATATAAAATTTTGTGATTTTGATATTTTTAAGATTTATTATTTTATATAGAGTATATATATTATTGTTATATGTTTTTAATGATTGGCTATCATTAAAATTGACTTCAAGAGCATGATTGAGATCAAGAGGAGATTTTATATAATAGTTTCTAATAATATATATTATAAATTGAACAAAAGTCAAAGATTGATGTAATTCATGTAACATTAGTGGTAAGAGGACATGAAAGTTTTACATAACTTAAGGAGTTTCACATAATATAATACATTTTTATCTATTTAAATTCACATAGAGATATAATGGGTTAATAGATAAAGACATATATGATATAATTTGAGAAAGTATATTAAATGGGTTAGGAAATATCATTGTCATATGAATTGTAAAAGTCTTAAAAGTATATTAATATAAATCTTATATTAATTTATTATACAGTAAAATCAGATCCTTTAAAATTTTAATTCTTGGTATCACTTAAGTTAGTTTTATCCTTTTTACTAGTTTAATTAATTAGTTCATTCAAATTATTTAATTTTTATTTTTAAATAAAATTAAAATTAATTAATTTAAATACTTAATTAGTTGTTACTTAAAATCAATTTAGTTTTCTTTTTACTAGTTTAATTAATTAGTTCATTCAAATTATTTAATTTTTATTTTTAAATAAAATTAAAATTAATTAATTTAAATACTTAATTAGTTTACAATCGTTCTATGAAAGAATATTTTATTATTATCATTATATTACTGAAGTGATTAATACTCTTGCCAAAGTGAAAATAACTCATTAGAGACAATCAAAAGCCCCTTAAACTATATATGAATTTGTTTTGTAAGTTGGTGTTAGACTTCGAAAAGTTAAGGGATTAATTCCTTGTAAATTTTGAAAAGGTTATGTACTAAGTTCAAATTAATCAATTCTTTGCGTGCCACATCATATAAATTCGCGAAAACCAACGGAAATATATCTGATGTTAATGACACTAAATTAAGGAAACTAACGCCCACTGTTAACTAGGGCCTATTTGCTTTTTTTTTTTTATGGTTGGCAAGGGCGTGGGCCTATTTGCATTGATAAGCAGTTTGAAGGCTTATACTTATATTTTTTTATTTGAGGGCTTACATACTAAAATAGGGGAAATCCAGAGACTTAACGGAGAGTTTTGCCTTCTTTCTCCCTTCCTACACTCTTTTTTTTTTCAAAGACAAATTGACATACATAACCTCTAATTCTCTAAACTTGGGGAATGGGAAAGGGTTGCCTGGTAGTCAAACCATAAACCTTCTAGACGTTGTTCCCACTAACCCAATGGTAAAATGAATTGGGCCAGAGCATACGAAACATCTGGGTTTACTTTTCTAAGAAAGGAAAACGAAGTCACTACTATTCATTAGAAAGACTATGCGTTGTAATAAAGGAAAACGAAGTATGCAAAGACCAATATGTTAGTCTCTCTGGTCCCTCAATAGGCAATTTCTCATGACTTGTTAACTTGGAAGAAAATTTAGCCAATTGTAAAAAGAATTGAAGACTTCACGTCCTCTTCAATCTTCATCCATGGATGCAAAGTCTTCAATCCAAAACTAAGACTAAAATTCTAATCAAGCTTAATTTTTGCAATAAAAAGAAGGGTTTGTTAAACTTGTGCCTTAAGGGCATGTTTTTGTCATAAATATATATAAAAAATATAAAAATTAACATTAATTTTAATATTAGTATTAAGTAAATGAATTTAATTTGATTGTTAATAAATTAAAAGTCAATTTTTATTTTTTAATTCAAATTTATGATAAAAATTTATATTTATTATCATTAAAATATATGTTAATAAATCCTTAAAAAAAGAAATGTCATCCACCATTAAATCAACTGATACCACTAATTTGAAATTGGGACAATAGCTTGCAACCGTGTCAAGACCACATATCCTCAACAAGTGCTGAACGGACAAAGAAATGGAAGAAATGCCACTGCTGAAACTGTAATAACGATGAAGATCTTCATCAGATAGCTCATTATAGCGCACCGAAACCAATGAGTCTGTGAATCAGATATCCTGGAAACCATGAACAAAAATTTCCAACACAGACTAAAGAGTGAAGTATTCCTTACTCTTCCCATGATTTTCTAGCTCAAAGCCTTAAATTGTGCCCAAATATAAAAATTAACACAACTTAACACTTAAAATGTTAGTTTTTTAAAAAATTATTTAAATATTTTTAATAAATATCTTTTTTGTATTAATTTATCAATTATATTTGAGTTTTTTTATTATAATTTTTAATATTTTAATTATTAAGACATTTTAATTTTTTTATAATCTTTAAAGAAAAATAGGTGAAATGCCCAAAAAATCGAGGCAGGGGAAATAGAAAGACTTTGGATCGTGGAAAATTACTGAACAGTTGCTAAAGGTATGAAATACTTCGGCTCTATTTTGTGGCTTCTGATTTTTTTTTTTGTTTTTAAAAATTTAGAAATTTTAGGATAAAATTAATAAATTATAAATTAATTATCCCTTTGAAGCAAAATTTTGTTGTTTATACCTAAACTTTTTGTGATGTTTCAATTTGTCCCTAATGTTTATTTGTCACAATTCAATCCCCCATGGTACTCGTAACTCGTTCTGAAAGGGCATTTATATACTTAGGGATTAACATAGTCCAATCCCTGTTGGTACTTATAGCTATGTAGCTTAGGATATTATGTTAATTAGTTGATATTGTTCTCAAAAAAAAAAAAAAAAGTTGAAAATCTTTCTAGCTTGTGCAAATATGGTAATATCTTCTTGTTCTTTCCTTGAAGTGAAAATGTAAAGCTCCAAAATGACTTTCTATTTTTTTTTTATTCACCAAAATTTATTGAAGAGTGAGGGAAGATGGCGGCCCGACTTGTCTATCCTGACAGCCAAAGCTCGAGAAAATGGTTCTTTTGAAAATGTGTGACAAATGAAACATTATAGACAAAATTGAGGCATTATAAGCAGTGGCGAACCAAGAATTTAATATGAGGGCCAAAATTTGTGAATGCTCAATTAAATTTACACTTAAAATATTTACTCATTATTTTAAAGTTGAAAATACAAAAATGATTGTAAATTTGGTTATAGTTAAATGTAAAATATACCATCTTTTTGATATTTTTAGTGATTAGTGTTTGCCTACTTGTATTTATAAAAAAATGTAAAATAAAAACAAACACAAAATAAAATATGTAATAACCTCAAAAATATATAAAAAATTGATATAGTACGTAAGTGACAAAATGAAATAATCATATTTGACTCAATAAAAAATTTCTAAAGTTAAGGTAAAGTTTTGGCCTTTGATTTTGTAAAATAATAAGTAATCGTAAACTCAATTTAATATTTTAGGCTAATTCTATGCTTTACAAAAGTTATAAAAATCTAAGACTTTTCCAAAAAAACAAAGCACAAGGGAGTATAGGGAGGAAAAATACCAAAAATTGGAAAAGTATTTTGGCAAAAAAAATTAGAGATTACAAGAAAATTTCTTATGTTTAATGAATCATCTTAAAGATGTACTAATTGTCATGTTAATTAATATTCAGTAATCACTTTTATAAACATTATAAGATAATAAAGTACACAAAATAAAAATTAAAGATTAAAATTGTAACTTAAAAAATTTGTGAACTAATTTTAAAATTGTTCAAAAGATCAGGGGGTGATCCCTCCATGGCTGCACAGGAAATTATAAAAGAAAAAAAAATTAGAGACGACATTTTTTTACTATTTTTTAGTACAATTTTATATATTATTTAAATGATTGATTATTTTTATTCATTGAAAACCTATAATATTAAATGTAACTATTTATTTTAATGATATGTGATAATTGTATACAAAGATTATACAAAAAATTATCTTTATATCTTGCCCATTATAAAACGGTTAGGGACAAATAAAGGAGTTACCTTCCTTTAAGCATTTTGTTATTTAGTGTAAGAATGCTTTTAGCATTTTAATGAAGAGAAGCACCGAATTTGCTCAGAAACTACGTTTGGTGTAAATTGTAATAAACTTTGGAAATTCATCAGAACATGGCTGTTTCTAACTTTCTAGTCATCAGTCTTATCCGAAGGCATTAGATTCCGCATTAACATTTTCTCAGTAACTATGGATGAGAAAAGTGAAAATTGTTTCCACATATTGGACTACTTAGAACTTTATTTATCAAAAGAATAAATTTCCACTTTCCATTGGCTTGACTTGCATGTAACATAATTCCTAGTAGAATTGTCAAAATTGGACTCGATCAAAAGATTTAACCCAATCCATTTATTATAGGTCGGGTATGAGTTTTTTTTTGAACAGCAAAAGTTTCATTACTATCCTGAGTACAAGGGGTACTCAAACCCTTTTACATGAACTTCAACCAAACCTCACAGATGCAGAAATAAGCACTATTAGTGTTACTACCATCTTTCAAACCCCTCCTACTTCACACTAGTAAGGCATGAGGCAGGGTTAATTAACCAGTCTGATAGATTGAAATAACACTTGCCTTTCCTAACTTTAATCCATGTAAATGATCGTAATTGAATAAGTTCAAAAAGTTTGATCAAGTTTACCTCTACATTGTCGAAGATCTTTTTGTTTCGTGCCATCCACACTAACCATATAACTGCGCTCCAAATACAGTCCCACCCTTCTCTTTTATGAGACTTTTTGGTCCAAACACCAAAGAGCTGAAACGTCTTCTTGCACTCATTTTGAAGTTCTACCTTGATGCCCCACCAGTTTGCGCAAGCTCTCCATAGCCATTTGACAATTTTGCATTTCAAGAATAAGTGGCTGGAATCTTCCTCTTCTTCTTCACACAGAACACATTTCCTTTCCTCCTCCTCCTTTATGACCCCACGTTTCAACAAATTTAGCTTGGTTGGGATTCTATCAAGTAATACCTTCCAGTTGAAAGCCGCCACTTTGGATGGAATGCTAGGGTTCCATATTCTTTTATGCAATTCTGCTTCCTCCTCTTCCCTCCTCTGTTTTGTTAATAGTGCGTAGGCTGTTGCTGTTGAGTACTCTCCGTCAGGGCTGTGTATCCACTTCCAATTGTCTGCGCTCCCTGGGGATATTCGCAATTTCTCGATCATATTTTGAAGTTCTTTTGCAGTCTCTTCTTCCCACTGATGCAGGGTTCTTCTCCATGTCAAGTTCCATCTCCATGTCCCATTGAGAGCCCTTCCCATTTGAAAGCATTCTTTGTCTTTGCCTGTAGACAAGATGTACAATCTAGGAAATTTATTAGCCAAGCAGATCTCCCCACACCACTCATCCCACCAGAAGCTCACTCTTTTCCCCTCACCGACCTTAATCCTAAAGCCCTCCGTAAGCCATCCTGCATTCCCCCCATCTCCAGCATTTAAATTTTGGATGTCTCTCCACCATATTGAACCTCCACCACTCCTATCCCTTACCCAATCCAGCCAATGCCCTCCATTCTCTTCGTACTTACTAGATATCACTTTGCTCCATAACCCATCTTCCCCTTTTGCTAACCTCCCCCACCATTTACCCAACAACGCCATATTGAATTTCCTCAAGTCCTTCACTCCTAGACCACCATTCTCCTTACTCCTGCATACCCTCTCCCAATTGACCCAACTGATTTTTTTCCTCTCCCCCATCCCTCCCCATAAAAAATTCCTGCGTATTTTATCTAAAGAGAAGAGAATACCTTTAGGGATTTTGTAGGCTGACATCAGGTACACTGGAAGGCTAGACAGCATAGAATTTAAGAGAGTGATACGGCCTCCCAAAGATAAGTTTTGCCCTTTCCAGCTAGCAAGTTTCTTTTTAAAGGAATTCACCAGTGGTTGCCACATTGCTATCCTTCTGTGATTCCCTCCAACTGGAGTACCCAAATACTTAAAAGGAAGATCACCCGCCTTGCAACACAGTCTATAAGCCATCCTCTCTTTCCAACCCTCCTCAGTCCCGACCCCCATTATCTGACTCTTGCCAAAGTTGATTTTCAGTCCCGACGCCAATTCGAAGGTCCTCATGATACTTTTTATTGCTTGAATGTTTTCCTCCGAAGCCTCTCCAAAAAACAGAGTGTCATCTGCGAATTGGAGGTGAGATACTAACAGGTTCCCGTTTCCGATCCTTACTCCTCTGTACAAGTTTTTCTCATTGGCAGACTGCATTAAACCATTAAGCCCTTCTGCTACTAATAGAAATAGGAAGGGGGAGAGCGGGTCACCTTGTCTTATTCCTTTGCTCACCGGGAATTGCTGTGTTGGGCTTCCGTTCACTAGGATCGAAATCATACTTGATTGTAGGCACTCCTTTATCCAATTTCTCCAAGTGACTGTAAAACCCGTCCTCATTAGCATATAATCAATAAAATCCCAGCTAACTTTGTCGTATGCTTTTTCGAAATCAACTTTGAAAAGAAAACTCTTCTTCCTCTTCCTTTTTGCCTCATCGATCACCTCGTTTGCAATCACCACTCCGTCCATCATCTGTCTACCTTCTATGAATGCCATCTGCTGCTCCCCGATGATCTTGTCAAGAACTTTCCTGAGGCGGTTTGCTAGTAGCTTAGCTAGGATCTTATACATGACTCCAATGAGTGATATAGGTCTGTAGTCTTCAATTCTATAGGGATTTTCAACCTTAGGGATCAGGGCGATGAAGGAGGAGTTGGAGCCTCTGACCAGCTTGCCATGCTCGTGGAATTCCTGCACGAAGCCAATGACATCCTGTTTTATTTCCTCCCACATTGCCTTTATAAACCTGAAATTGAAGCCATCCGGCCCAGGGGACTTAAATGAGTCACAATCCCACACTGCGTTTTTAATATCCTCTTCTGAGAAAGTGGCCGTCAAAAAATCATTGTCTGCTTCGTCTAACTGTTTGAAGCTGATGCCGTCTAGCTTTGGTCGCTGCCACTCTTCTTCCGAGAATAACCCCTTGAAATAATTCATCACACCTTCCTTGATGTCATTTACACCTCTACATTGATCTCCCCTTATCTGAATGCTGTTGATTTCGTTTCTTCTCCATCTGCCCTTCACACTTCTATGAAAAAACTTTGAGTTTGCATCCCCCATCTTCAGCCACATCTTTCTGGATTTTTGCTGCCACATACTCTCTTGAATCTTCATGTTCTTCCAAAGATCCAGGAATCCATTCCTTCTTTTCTCAATGTCTACTTCTGAGAGTTGGCTGTGCTCTTCTTTTTCATCCATTTCAGCTATGATCCTTTCTGCTTCAATTATTCTTCTGTCAACTTCATCTGTGTGATTAGCACTCCATTGCTTCAGGGCTTTTTTTGTTTCTCTCAGCTTTTCCTTAAGTCTGAACCCCTTCCACCCCTTCACCTCTACAGATTTCCACACTTTGCTAATTACTTCCTTGCAATCAGGATGTTCCAACCAAGCATCAAAAAACTTAAAAGGTTTTGGACCCCAA